GTGTCGCTTTCTTTGGTTTTCCATATTCTGATATTGCGGGCCTCTATTACGCCATCGTACGGTATTTGTGTTCTTTGCCCATTTTCTATATCTTTAACTACATAGCGATCGTTCGGGAGCTTCTTGTGAATAATGTAAGGTCCCTTATATTTTGGCAGGAGTTTCTTATTTAGCTCTACTGTGGTATCCACATTCTTAATTACCACGAAGTCTCCTTCTTCGAACTCGTCGGCTCTACCTATTTTTTGTTCGTTACGACCTAGGTTGTATCTCTGCACTTTTTCAATGCGTTCTTCTGCTTTTTTCCTCATTGTTTCTAAATCCCTCCCCCCGGGGCTGAATTGCCCTCATCTAGATACTCTGTAAGCTTATCTACAATCTCGCCCCTTTGGTTTACGCCATAAAGGGCTTGGCTTGGTGCTATTCCTATTGACCTGTTCACGGAGTTATTGAATGCAAACTCAATTTTCCCCAATTGTTTTACCCAGTCACCGTGAGCCACCGGATCACTTAGTTTTGCAAGCATACCCACTAGACTTCTGTTTACTCTTTCTGCTTGTCCATTTGCCTGAGGTGAATGGACTGCCACTTTTACATGAGTTATATTTCTATCACACAAGTATTGTTTAGATTCCTTCGACGTAAAGCAGCTACCCCTATCCGTGATGCATCTGTGGGGGCGGCTGTAATATTCAAAGTATTTGTTTAAGGCTGCTGTTACTTCTTTTGTACTTGTTGTTAGCACTGGGTATAGTTTAACATACTTAGTAAATGCATCTATAATCACTAATATATGCTTTCTTTTTGACTGAAGGGACGGAAGGGGGGCCTAAGTGATCTAGATGTATGGTATGGAAAGGCTCGGGATGTTTCGGTATGTTGTGTAAATTCCTATATGTTTTTTCTGGCGCTGAATACATAATGCATCTTAAGCAGTTCTTCTTAAAATTTTTAATCTTATTTTTCATATCCGGAAACCAATAATTCGCTGAGTTTTTGATAACATTTATCGGCTCCCTGGTGACCTAATTGTTCGTGTGTCGACCTTATTAGTTCCCTTTCGAGTTCTGTGGGCACAAGAAGCAACAATCGGTTTCCTTGTTTTCTGAAGACTACGCCATTTTGCATCACATATTTTGTAATTTCTTCATTCTCTAGTCTGTTTTTTAGTTCAAGTATGTCTTTGTTTCTATTCTGCATAATTTGGAGCTGGAAGTCCAGGTCCTCGCTATCGATTACGCCTATCATCTCGTGGCTATCGTCTTCAATTCTACTTAATGCATCTACATGCGTCATGTTTTTACCTGCCCGGTGGGAAATTGTGTAATTATAGTTTCGAGTTCTAGCGCCCACCTTGCTATTCTGCTGTTCACTGACTTTTTACTAAGAGTTTGCGCAAACGAATTGCAATCAGTTACTATTTTGAATTGTAAACCTTCTAGGTAGACTCTAAACCGCCGTAATGCATAAATAATAGCTAATGCTTCAAGTTCAAAACTGTGATATCTACTTTCGGCATCTGAAGTTCTTTTGGAGAAGTAGGCCACTGGATGGAAATTATTATCTGCCTGTTTTTGAAGTAATATTGCACCGAAACCATAAGAACTCGCGTCACAGTGCAGCTCAGTGTCTCTTTTGTGGTTGTAAATTGCTAGTACTGGTCCTGATACTAATATCTTCTTAAGGTCCTCAAAGAAGGTGACGCATTTTTCGGTGAATATAAACTTAGCGTCTTTTTTCAAAAGTTCGTACAGGGGTCGAGCTATAAGTGAAAAGGATTGGACGAAATTTCGGAAGTACGAACACAATCCAACGAATGATTGCAACTCGCGTTGGTTTCTAGGCATTGGAAAATTCGTAATGGCACTAATGTGGCTTTCGGAAGGTCGTATTCCGCGATCTGTTACTTTATACCCTAGATATTCTACCTCATCATATGCAAATTTACACTTATTTAGTTTTATTCGAAGGCCATGTTCAGTTAAATGTCGTAAAACCCGTTGAACTAATTCGTAGTGTTCATCTGATGTTTTGTTCGCAATAATTATATCGTCCATGTAAACGATAATCTCGTTGTTATCAATAAATTTTCTTAAGACTGTTGTTATGAATCTTTGAAATATGGCCGGCCCGTTTTTTAACCCAAAGGACATTCTTAAAAATTCATACTGGCCATTCGGAATGACGAAGGATGTGTATTTGATAGACTCATCAGCCATCTTAACATGATAAAAGCCTGACTCAAGATCTATAACTGAAAAAATTGTATTACCCCCTAAATATTCTAGACAATCTTCGATAAGTGGGAGCGGACAATTGTCTCTAGCAATCAATTTGTTCAAATTCCTATAGTCAACGCACATGCGAGTAGCCCGCGAGTCACTATGCCTTATTATGTTCTTCTTAAGCAAATCTTCGATAATGTTATTAACCTCATTTTTCTCTCCGAATGACAGTCGTCTTGCTTTACAAAATGTTGGCGTATTGGATGATAGTACGATTCTTGCCTCATATTTAGTATCTGGGATTTCTTCAGTTTGCCTCTCTAAATAGGTAATTTCAATCATTTTCCTAAACTTTTCTGCCAGAACTGAAGGTAACTTAGGGTTCACGTCGATTAATTCCACTTTATCTACATAATTGTCAATATTGCAAATTTCTTTAAAAGCCAGTTGGGTTTCTGAAGCTTTTGTATTGAAATCCACACTGCTTTGATTTTGAATGCTCTTCAAATCTTTCTTTTCTTTAGCTATTTCACATTTTTTTATATTTAAAGCCGTTTTGTTTTTGGAATTTTCAGTTTCGAATTCATTTATTTTCTTACTTCGAGTAATGTACAAAGAAATGCTATATTTTTCTAAAAAATCTCTACCGAGTAGTAATGGAAAAGGTAACCATTCATCTGGCATTACGTATAAAAACAAAGGTTTTACAACATTTCGGTATTTTATCAAAACAAAAACTTTTTCACTTGGTTTAATTAGATTTCCTCCAATGTTTCTAAACTGTGGCATATTTTCATTGTTGTGAACGCGATGTGGGTTAATTCCTACGAGCGATCGCTGAATAAAACTATTTGGGCTGCCCGTATCGAATATGGAAACAAAATTTTCAAATTTAGAACTATTAAGGGATTTACCATAAAAAGCGACACTTACCATTTCTCTAAAATAAACTTCATCCGGTCCGTCAACTGCTGCAACTATCTTCAGTGGGCAGTTTTTATACTGATGGTCCTGCTTGCCACACTTGAAGCAAGAGCCTTGCACGCGCTTCCTCTCCTTGCATTCCTTTGCGAAGTGCCCGAAGCGAGAGCAGTTGTAGCATCTCGTTGTAGGTGTCTGATTCTTGCTACTGGCTGTCTGTTCGCTACCGCGGCCGGCCTTCTGTATCAACTTCTCGTACTTCGGCAGCAACGATTTCAGCGCTTCCAGTTTTGTAACGCCGCTGAATATTAGCGCATTGCCCGTTTTGTCACGTAGCCTTCTGCGCTATTTGTTGCATACACAGAACATAGTGAGTGAGGGTTTCTGTTTTAAGCCATACGCGCGACTCGAGTTGTTTAAATATATCCTTCACGCTAATCGGCCTCTTGAATTCGTTGCATAGGGAACGCTTCAAGTCGCACCAGGAATTGACGTCAATCATTTTTGTAAATAACTGGGCACTTCCCGTTAGCATTCGACGTGCCAGAAGCGGTTTTGTTTTTTCATCGCAACCGAAGCATTTTGCCGTGTATTCAAAGTCGGTTATCCACTTTTGTATATCGGCCCCATCGTCGCCGCTAAATTTTGTTAAGGCATTTTCAATATCGCTGAATTTAACGGGAAAATTGTTTGTGACTGTACCCTCTTCTAGCTCTTTTATCTCCTTCTGTAGTTTAAGAATGCGTAACTTTTTCAGTAACTGCACTTCCAGTTCCGTTATCTCGGTTTGCGCAACTGTAGGAGCTGCCGCGCTGCTAACGTCCGCTACGGTAGCATGGGAGTCCCGTTTTTCAGCAGAGGGTATATTGCTGCTTTTCGTGGCTGCTGAGGTAGTTTTACCAAGAGCTACCGTTGCCGTTTCACATTTTGATGCTGAAGTTGTGTTACCCGACGCTGCTGAAAGTGCGTTAATCGGTACTGAAGTGGTTTTGCCCGCTACTGAGGTCGCGCTGGCTGGTACTGAAATTGCGCTAACGGGTGCTGAAGCTACGCTGTTCGGTGCTGAAGTTGCGCTAACCGGTGCTGAAGAGGAATTGTCCACGTTGGCTATCTTCCTGGTCTTCGGCCTGCTTTGGTGCGCCCACTGCCGAAGCCAGAAGTGTCTTAAGCTGCCTTATGCTTGCGGTTTCTGGGAAAAAAATCCCCAATCCTCGCAGCGCGTCCGCTATTTGCTGTTTTTCAGCCATTGCCTGTTGCGGTTACTTAACGCGTATATACTTATAAAATGCTTATAAATTATTTGCGCGGCCGACTTGATTTTTTATTTTACCGTGGGTAGTTTTCACACACCTGACGCTGTGGACGGTTCACCTGATAATGGCGTTTATTTCCAATCAGTATTGCCATGTACATATTTTACTTGTTCTCTTATGATAGTGTTGCCATGTTACAATAAGAATATTTATAATAATGTGTTTACACTCTACGTCTTAATTTAATCTACTACACAGCTTAATTGTCAAAGCCTTAAAGCTAAGAAAAGTTGTATTGATTTTTATATTGATCACAATGATATTGGTATTGTTGCCCTTGTAGCTGTTGGATTTAGGAAAAGTATAAGATATGAAAGAATTAAATATAACACTGTTCATGATATTATTGCTAGGACTTTGAGCTTAGATGAGAACTTTGTCATCTGCTTTTCCTCCTAGTATTAATTCTAGTATTTTTGGATATGAGATTGATAGACTTCTGTCTTTTTTGCCAAAATTTAATAACTTACTCATCTTAGGAGATTTCAATGCGAAAAATTGGGTTCGGGTGATAGTGTTTGTAATTTTAAAGGTAAGCTTATTTTTAATGAAATTAGAAAAGTAGGTTTTATGTGTCTTAATGATGGTACAAATACTTTTTGAGTAGCTAGAAACAGTTCTTTTGTTGAATCTGTTTCGGACTAATCCTTTACAAATTCTAATTTCAATATTTTGTTGAGTTGCACTCCTGCGTATCTGGGGGTAGTCACCATCATCCTATATCTATTGTTATAGAGGAGATTAAGAGTTTCTCGGCCTTTAATTTGCAATACAAACTTATGAAAGCTGCATCGTCCATTCAAGGTAAGAAGGATGTATCGTAGGTTATTGGCTAGTAGGAAAAAAGCGAGATTAACTTGTAGAATTGAGGGTATGGAACTTGCGTGTGTGAGAGCTGAGGAATGGAAAAAAGCGTCTAAAGATGCTAAAAGTTACAGTTTTAAAGAGAGAATTAATGAATTAATTCTTGAAGGTAGTAAATATAAAAACATTGAATGGATAAGGGATGACAATAAAATGTATTTAAATTTTCTCAAAGATCAGATCTATATTGTAAATAATGGTCTCAGTGTTCAGCAGAATGTGTTTAATGTGGATCCTCAAATTAGCTGTAGTGATTTAACCTTCTCTCTAGCTGATATGGATTTAGCTTTAAGTAAGAAAAAAAGGTCGTCTGCGGGACAGGATCGTATTACTTTTGAGATGCTCAAAAATTTGTCTGAAGAGTGCAAACATTTGTTGATTGAAGATCTTTCTTTACATTTAACAATAACATTGTTAAGGATGAATGGAGAGTTATACGCATTGTTCCTATTCCTAAACCAAATAGAGATTTAAATGACATTAAAAACTATAGGCCGATCTCTTTACTTTCTGTTGTTGTCAAAACTCTTAATATGATGGTTAAAGATAAATTAGTGAATTGGTCGGAATTAAAGGGTATAATTCCAGCACGAAGTTTTGCATATAGAAATGGTAAATCAGCCACAATGTGTTTAAATGAGTTTATGCATTGGGTTGGTATGCTCAAAGTTAGAAAACAGAAAATTTGTATGTGTGTATAATCTTTTTGTATAATTCTGTTAATCTTTTTTTTATACAAATAATGATAAATAAGGGTTTTGATGTGAATTTTTTTTTCTGGGAGTATTTTGAAATTTGGTGATAAACATGTCCTTGTAGATAATGGTTTACCTCAGTAATGTTTATACTGCTTTTAAATGATGGTAATGTTATGCTTTACCAGTTTGCAGATGATTTTGTTTTAATTTGTCATGATAAGAATGAAACAGTGGCTTTGAATTTGCCTAAAAATATTATTAGCTGTTTTGAACAGAGATGTGGTGCTTTGAATCTTACTGTCAATCATAGCAAAATGAAGTTTATGAATATTGGTGCAACCAGAAGAAAACAAGTTCCTCTTAGAGTCAGCAAGAAATTGAACAGGTTTATACTTTAAAATGGTTGGGTAGAATTATATCTGTAAATGCTACGGTTAATAGTCATATAGATATGATTAAAAAAGAGATGACCCCTAACAAAAATTTACTAATGAAATTAACGACTATTAAATCTGAACTTGAACCTAAAATTGCTATAAATTTCTATAAGGCTTTTATTCGCTCTAATCTTTTATTACTATTTTAAGTCTAAAATAATTACATTCGAATCGGCTTACACACGAAACTGTTTCTATGTGCAATTGAAAAAATGGAATGACAGGAGGTATCAACAACAGGGTTGCTATGTACATAAGCTTTTCTCCTAGCAACAGAGTTGCCATGTATACTAAGGTTACAATAATGCAAATCCATTTCCTCACGTTTTTATTAATAAATTAATTTAAATACATTTACAACAACGCAAACATATTTAATTTACCTATTCTTCACATTTTATTCAGTAAATGAATTCCTTCTTAATGTAGAATATAAGTGTATAGTATGTACATACATACATACACTTGTATGTACCTATGCATTCGGTGTGCTTAAATTAAAAAAGCATCACTAAATAACGCACCAAGAATGGAATTCCAATTATTTTGGCTTTTTGGTTTCCCAAAAGCACTAAATTTAGTGCAAAATGCACGACCTTGGCAACAGTGAGCTGAGCACATCCATGCTCAAACAGTGATGCCAGACCAAGTATTGAGTAAATGCACTATGCGTATTTTTCTTTTAAAGCAAAAGTTCTAATTGGCGAGGGGATTGATTTTTGGTTCTTACATAGAACACTGATAAGATTCACAAACTGATCTTAGGACTTAATTAATATAATCAACATTATTTGTAGACGAATATATTTGTGTTCGTATGAAATAGTAGCTTATGTCGGGAGGCTGGCTTTAGTAAAATGTACTATTCCCTATATCGCTAGCTTAGAGTGAAATGTTGCTAAGTCCACTTTTCATGAACAATTAATTTTTGATGCAGGAAGCAAGGAAAATTGAAAATGCACCGTTTCTGAAAGGATCTAACTACTTGTTTTATTTCTACCCGTTTTATTCCGTGATGTGCAAATTTGCTAAGTCCAAAGTAGTCACAGAAAATTTGATAAGTCTAAAAAAATATGAATATTTTTTTACGCTATCGAATTCGATTTGTATTGAGGGTTTTGTATGTATATTAGGCTGGGTCGATTTTGTATGGGGGAAAATAAAAGGCATTTGACCGTATTGTAATAGTAATATTATGATGTCTTAGGTCTAAGCCAATTGTTATTGGCCAAGAAAGATTAATTTAAAATGTATCTTTAGCCCGCGCAATTGAATCAAAGTGTATGAATTTTGAGAATGAAATTTTGGCTTGTATTATCTTTGGAATGCGTTCATTGTTACAAACAGGGCGATATATCAAATTAAGGGTTATTAAATTTAGTACCTAACGTTCATTTATCATTTTTCAATAAGTCTAAAAATTTTTAAGATATTAAAATAAAAAATAAGAAAACTATAATTTTCCCTTATGAATTTTCAATTCTTCATTACTTCAGCAACCAAGTGAAAAATACAAAAAAGTGAGACGAGATTTATTTCAAACGTTTTAATGCTTTCGGATGTTTATATAATATTAAAATTACCATGGACTTGGTCACGCCGATTTGGTCAGTTTTCAAGATCGTGGTGAATGAAGTCAAACATGTATTGTCAAAGATTAGGAATCGTTTGATAAGTTAATAGTAGTTGCAAGCATAAATATAAGTATTTGCATACATTAACATAATACAATAAGGCGTTGTATGAAAGTAGGGGACGTGCAACAAGTGTTTAAATAAATATTTTAGTTAATTCCATTATGAGAAAAAGTAACTGTAGATAGGTAAATGCAATAGTCTTTAACATATCCTAGAAAATCCTTTCGAGGACTCTCCAATTGGACGATATTGCTTTGCATCCAGCTTGAACGAAAGAAGTCACTCTCTGGCATACTTTTCTGTAATCCGGTTCTTTCATTAAAAGGTTCTTTATAAAAATGAAGAGAATTTTTTTTAGAAAAAAACTGGAGATCCACTTAAGTTTTTCGATATAACTTTGGTAAATGTTACTCGATCGGCACGTAATAATTACCAAATTGATAATAATAATAATGATATTATAAGTATGTAAAGCTGCTAGTCAAAACCTAGACCATACGATGTTCTTTATTTAGATCACACCTTTTTTAAAACATTTAATATCGTATAGTTATGTAAAAATATTCGTCCTGGACGTTGTAAAGGCGATGCCAAGTAACAGATGTTCGTGGTATCAGATACACACCAACCGGAGAAATATTTTTTAAACTTAGGTTTTCAGATCCATGGAAAACTCTTCCTCAAAGATTAGACAGAAGTATAGTCCCGTTACAGTGGTCCAATTTGCAGCAACTTCACCAATGCAGACGCCGAATTACAGCAAGAAAGAACGAAGATTTGCAGTATTTAAAAGCAACTTTGCCTAAAGACCATCATAATTTTTACGATAGTTTGCCACATGAATGATTTTTTGGTGTGTAGTTTAGTTTCAGCGAACAATACTATTAATTTAATCTACCAATAATTGTTTGTTCATTATCATTTTAATGTATAAGTTGTTGTTTATAATAAACAAGTTCGCAACTACGTTTCAAATTAAAAATATGTATAAAAAAAAATCGCAATCTCCTTTTTCAGAATATTTATTTAGTCTGAACCGAAAATCCCACTAATGGGATCGTAAAAGAACGGCTGCTCTGGTGTAGTGGTAAGCAGTGCGCGCTGCCACTGCGCAGGGCCTGGGTTCAAGCCCTGGCCAAAGCAACATTACAAACAAATTTAGAAGAGAAGGTTTATCCTTAACAGCGGTCGCCCCTCGACAGGCAATGGCAAACCTCCGA